AAACTCATCTGAAAAATAGAAAACACCTTATTGTCCAAAGAGACTAGTAGTACCTCAAACAAAACAAAACTAAAGAAAAATGCCACAAGAAAACTGCAATAAATGTCCCTTAGGTATATGAATGCAAAATTTCTCAAACAATTCTACCAAATGGAATTCAGCAGTGAATAGGATTTATAATATTGGTAAGTAGGACTTGTTCCAAGGATGCAAAGTTGTCTTAATAACTAAGAATCAACTTGATACTGTACCATATCAATAAAGATTCATATAGTTTTTCAGTAGCATAGAAAAAATTGACAAAATTCATCCCTTTATGATAAAAAAAACCCTCAACAAAATGAAAAACACACAGTCGGCCCACAGTTAATATAATTAACTTACCTAGAAGGTAAAATCAGGAACAGTAATTCAGAATGACCACTTTATTTAACATTTGGACAGGATAAGGATAAGGTTACAAAAGGCCTTTCAATTAGAAAGGAAGAAGAAACACTTAAAAATGATTTTGTAAGTAGGTGGTTCTGAGAAATCGGTGAGAAAATACTAGAGTTAATAAACTAGCTAAGCAAAAATTTAAGAGTAACATACAAAAGTTAACTGACATTTTTTACACTTGCAGAATTGTTTCACTTTCAGATTTTTATCTGAAAATAGAATTAAGAGAACAATTCTATTTGCTGTAGAATCAGGAAAACAGTTGGGAATAAAAAATACATAACTCAACAAAATATTGCTGAAAATGAAATATAACCCAAAAAATGGAAGGATACCACATTTTCATACATTGATTTACTATTCTTGGAGTAACGGGAGTTCCAAAATTTTTTTAAATTTTTATTTTATTATAAAGATGCTGTACAAAGGGGTTACAGCTACATGAGTAAGGGTGTGAGTACATTTTTGGCAAGCATTGTTACCTCTCCTTTGTTTTTCTCCTACTATCCCTTCTGAGTTCCAAGCTTTATTAACCAAGTTATCCAGAAATTCACATAGAAAATTATGGGGCCTGAAATATCAAAATACAGTAGCTCATTTATTTATTTTTGAGGTAGTATATTTGATGATGCTTAGGCAGGTACTCTACCACTTCAACCAGGCCTCCTATGCTTTTTGCTTTGGTTTTTCAGGTTGGTTCTCACTTTCTTGTCTGGCCTGGTCTGACTGCAGTCTTTCTACTATATGCTTTTGATGTAGCAAGAAGTCAAACATGCACCAGCAGATCCAGCTTTTTATATTGAAAAAGTACTCATTAATTTTTTAGCCCAGCTGTCCTTGAACCATGATTCCCTCCCCCACCTCCACCCCGCTCCCTATATGTACCTCTGAGTAGCTAGGATTGCAGGAGTAAACCACCACACACTCAACCTCTAAAAGAGTTTTGAAGAGGAAGAATAAAGTTAGAAACTCACACCTCATAATTTCAAATTTTATTCCTAGCCAGGTTTAGTCGTAGTCCTAGCTGTTGGGAGAGTGAGGAAGGAAGATTGTTGCAGTACAGTTCACGGTCTCAGTGTTAAACAGGAAAAAAATTTAAACAAAAACTGACTGAAAAGCTATAAGAATTGAGAAACATGTGACTGGTGTAAGAATGGACATTTAGATGAATGTAGATCTGTAGGATAGAATTGGGAGTCCAGAAATCCTCACATGTATAGTCAACTAGTTTTTCAGCAAGAGACAGTGTGGAAAGAACACTCTCTTCAACAAGTGGTGTTGAAGCAACCAGATAGCTATATGCAAAAAAAAAAAGTATAAATTTGGGCCGTACTTCATAACACAAACAAAAGTTAATTCAAAACATTTGGGTACTTTTTTGTGTGTGACATTGGGTTTGACAGTGGCTTCTTAGACCAGGTACCAGAAGCACAAGGAATTAAAGAAATGATGAGATCATTTGGAATATGGGGATATAGTGAGTAATGAGAATGTTGTCCAGTTGATTATGATGGCTGTACAACTCACTAAAGACAATTGGTTTTACACATCAAGTGGGTGAATATCATGAGGTTGGAGATAAGTCTCAGATGAAAGTGAAAATCCAACTGGGCAACAAAACCTTACAACAGAAGTTGTAAAAAGGTTGGTAGATGGTAGAGTGACATCACAGATGGAGGGAACAAATGCTTAGCTCTTCACAGGAATTACTACCAGCACCTCCTGCCTCTGCCTGCAAGTACCACTGACCTCATTCACCAGGATACTCTTGGGCAGTCTCAGTATCAGCTTTACCACTGTGGTTGCCTGGATCCTTGAACAGTTTGCTGTTCACAGGCCTGCACCTGTAGAAAATGCTGCTGGTTTTTGAATATCAGGTTCTTATGCTATAAAGTCAGCCTATTTCAAAGTAGGAGATAGTTTACTTGACACTGTAAATTTGTCTCCTTAAATGTATACTTTTCCTCAGTCTCTCCACTAAGTGAAAATTAAGCACCTTCCATGTTCTAAGGAACAGTATTCCATAAGTAGTTGTTATTCCTGTTTAATAAGAGTTGAAGAACAGACATCTTCAATTTGTTCAAGGCAGGACATGAGTGGAGCCATCTAATCTATCAGTTACACAATCTTCTGTGTCATATTGCCTCTGGGGGCACTAATGGATTTTTTAAATTGCATATTAAGTTTTTTGAGTTTCAGTGATTGTTTTCAGAGACCCTACATAACATCCAACATAAGGAGTTTTTATTCAGTTAATTAGCACCGTGTGCATCTATTGTTTACTGCATGCAGGCACTTATCTGTTGATCCTCATTCTTAAAAAGCCTGTTTGGCAGATAAAACAAGTGTGCAAGAAAACATTTGCAGAAAAGCAAGACAGTTGCAGTGGCCCAAGTCTTTAATAACTGGTATGATAACATTTGAGGAAGTGATGGACTCTCTATGAAGTGGCTATTTGAAGTCTTTGATTCAGTTGCACCTGCTCTTGGGGACTTGAAGTTAAGTGGGCAATGTAAAAGAAAAACATGTGATCTTTCTGAAACTATTTGTTTTGGCCTCTGGAAGTGCCTTTTTTATTCTGGTAAACTTTACCTCTGTTCTGTATGCCAGTCCTGGGGCTTGAACTCCTGGCCTGGGAGCTGATTGTGAGTTTTTTCATTCAAGGCTAACACTCTACCACTTGAGCTACAGCTCTCTACTTCTGCTTTTTGGTGGTTAATTGGAGATAAGAGTCTAACCTCCTACCTAGGCTGGCCTTGAACCCTTATCCTTTGATCTTAGCCTCTTGAGTTTCTAGGATTCCAGGCATGAGACACTGGTGTCTGGCTAACTTTACTATTCTTAGTGAGTTTTGCTGTCATATTCACTAAAAAGGAAAAAAAAAATTTTGTCAGTTGGCTTTGTGTTATCAAATTGAAGTAAACTCAACAAGTAAATATACCAGGGATACTCACTTTTCAGATTTTTCAGAAGAAAAGCTTATATGACATCTCTGATTCTTCTAAATATAAATTGTTTCTCATCCAGATGTGCTGTATTATAGCCGTGTTTAGTTTCTGGTGAAACTGTAGTTTAAGATGTGTGTGTGTGTGTGTGTGTGTGTGTGTGTGTGTCTGTGTGTGTGTGTGTCTGTGTCTGTGTCTGTGTGTCTGCTGTCTGTCTGTCTGTCTGTGTGTATGCCAGTACTAGGGCTTGAACTCAGAGCCTGAGTGTTGCCTTAACTTCTTTGCTCAGGCTGGTGTTCTACAACTTGAGCCCCAGCTCTACTTCCAGCTTTTTTGGTAGTTTGAGATAAAGATCTCCTGAGTAGCTAGGATTACAGATGTGAACCACCAATGCCTAGCTAGTTTAGGTTAAGTTTTTAGGGGTTTTTTTTTTGCAAAAACGTTTATTTTATAATTTAGGACATTTTCTAAAGTTATAATTCATATCATTGTTACATAAAGTAGTATTGAGTTATCCATTTTTATGATGCCTTATCAGAGCCAATTAATAACCTAATTGTTTTGTTTTGTTTTGCTGATCCTGGGGCTTGAACTCTGGGCCTGCGTGCTGTCCCTTAGCTCCTTTTTTGCTCAAGGCTAGCACTCTACCACTTGAGCCACATCATCACTTCCAGCTTTTTCTCTGACTAATTGGAGATACAAATTTCACAGACTTTCCTGCCAGGCTGGCTTCAAATCACAATCCTCAGATCTTAGCCTCCTGAGTGGCTAGTGCTCACCTCCTGATTCGTTTTTAATCAGCCTGCTCCCTTATTATTTGTTATTGCAGACATAATGTGTCCTATTTTATTATTCCCATTGGGATAAATGGGGAAGAGAAATTGGAACCTTCTAATTTTGAATGTTTTCATTTGTTGGTTATACTTTTTTTTACTTTGTTCACCTTTTTATTTTTATTTTATAGCTATGGAGCAAAAAAAGGCTACCTATTGACTAACGTATATTTTAGGAAGTATGCATAGACAATCCTAGGAAAAGGGAGTTTGCTTGTAGATCTTAAAAATAGTGACTGACGTCTATTACATAAGACAAGGTGGGGGACTAGGAATGTGGCTTAGAGGTAGAATGCTTTCCTAGCATGCATGAGGCCCTGGGTTCAATTCCTCAGTACTACATAAAAAAGGTAATAAGACAAGCTGGGGTTTTACTTTGCTTTGTTTGTTGATTTGGTTTGATTTTGGTTGTCTTAATAGCTGATGCTTGCCATTTTTCAGTAAGTACATTGTACAGCAATGGCAGAGGTTTCTGATAGGCTCTATTGAGAAGAATGTTTCTAAATATATGTTGATTTTATGTAATGGTTGTATTGGTTTAAATCAGATGAGTACTCTTTGCAAACTGATTTTATTGGCTGAAGGCAGTCATCACCTTATGAAATGGTTTTCCTATATGAACCTAGTAATATTTTTCTAAGTGCCAAATACTGAAAAAAGCGTCATTAACAAAAAAAAAGCGTCATTAACATCAATGCCTTATGTTCAAAGTGATTAAAAAGGAGATGCTTCCTTTTGTTTATGAATACAAGTCAAAGAAAGAAAAAATATATTTCATTTTTAGATTATATAAATGGTGGAGAGCTTTTTACTCATCTTTCTCAAAGAGAGCGTTTCACAGAGCATGAGGTGCAGATCTATATCGGAGAGATTGTGCTTGCCCTTGAACACCTGCACAAGGTAAGATGTGTTATCTTTGGACTTTTTTTCCACAGTCTGCTAACTGAGGTACTGACAGCTTAGCCAGCTAATGTTTTCATGGGGTCCTTATCTTGGTGGAGGTTGTCAACATTGCCATCTTTTGTTTCACAATTCTCTTGTTCACGAATCTCCTTTTCTATTGTGGTTGCTGGTAGAACCTGCATATTTTTGTTTTCTTCTTTAAAAATCCTAGGGGCTGGGAAGGTGGCTCAGTGGTAGAGCGCTTGCCTTGCATGCCTGAGGCCCTGGGTTCGATTCCTCAGCACCACATAAGCAAAAAGAAAAAGCAGGAAGTGGCGCTGTGGCTCAAGTGCTAGAGCGCTAGCCTTGAGCTGAAGAGCTGAGGGACAGTGCCCAGGCCCAGAGTTCAGGCCCCATGACTGGACCCCCCAAAAAAAATACTTCAGAGCGCTTGCCTTAAAAAATCCTAATGCTGTATGTATTGTGAAGTGTCATTTTAGTTCTTAAAATGACCTATAAAATGAAACAAAAGCAGAATATGTGTTTCCTTAATTGTGACTTACTCCATGGCAGTCTTGGTCTGCCATCGTTGGTAGAGGCCAGAGAATGAGCCTCTCTGCTTTCTCTCCCATGCTGGTTTTCTTCTGCCCCAACCCATTCTCTCCCTCCATTGTCTCCCATGAACTCACTAAAATCTTTCCATGAAGATTGTGTTCATGAACTCATTAGAACTCTATACAACAAATGTAAACTTTGTTTGTATATTGCTGAAGTTACTGTTAATTTTGACCCATGAAATGACTTATTTTTTTAATTTATCAGGAAGCATTATTGTAGAAACAAAGAGTCACTATGTAGCGTAAGCTTTTGTGTTTCTTTGTTAGAGAAAGAAGGGTACTAAAACCGTTGATTCCTAAGAGGATGAGGTCATAAACTGATGGATAGTCTGGCTTGAGTGACTAAATTTCAGCAATACAGGCACACCGTGAAGTCACTATTTTTTGTTTTGTTATAGTTAGATCTTACCCTAGGCATGCTCAACAGAGATTAAAGAGCTGGTTATAGCGCATAAAAAAGAGGAGAGAATTGAAAGGGAAAGGCAAGGAAGAAGGAAGTAGGTTTTAAATGGGCAGGGGTATCCACTAGAAATCAAATCAAAGAGGGAAGTGGTAAGTTGGAAAGGGTATGAAAAGATAATAGAAAAAAAGAACAAAAGTAAGACTGGACATGTGGTAAGGGAAGGAGACAGGTCAGAACAGTTCAGAAGGTGAGACAAAAGGATCGTGAGTTTGAGGCCTGCCCTTAAACTATACATAGAAACTCTGTAAAAAAAAAAAAAAAAAAAGTACAGGCACCAGTGGCTCATGCCTATAATCTTAGCCACTCAGGAATATGAGATTTGTGGTTCGCAATTTGAAGCCAGTCCCAGCAGGAACTCTTTATCTTCAATTAACTACCAAAAGCCAGAAGTGGAGTTGTAGCTCAAGTGGTAGAGCACTAGCCTTGAGCAAAAAAGCAGGGATAGCACCCATTTTCTGAGGTGCAACCCCAGTACCAGCACATGCACACACAAAAACATGGGGGAACGGGTAAAAATATATAAGAAACAGAAGAACAAAGAGCAGGCAGTCAGGACAGGCTATAGACAGTACAGTGGAAAGGGAGAGTAGGAAAAATGTCGAGAATCCACTTAGGTCAGGGGACAGACATATGGACTTCTTTGGACAGTATCTTCAGTCTGGTGACAAGCTTTATATCTATGGGATATAAGGTAATTATACAAGAAACAAATTGAACCCCAGAATAGGCTACAAAGACTCCTGAAACTTATGATTAGATGTAGTATTTTATAATATAAAAATAGTGATAGAATTAACCATAAATGCCAAAATGAAAACAAAACACAGGCCTCCAATGGGTTAGCTAGAAAATACAGGGTTTTTAAAAATTTTTGTGACACTTTAATTCTGTTCATTTTACTCAAGAAAAATTCATGAATATTCATTATTATCAAATAGTAGTGAGAAGCATGGAAGTAGTGTACACAATGAATCTGGATCTAAATGTAATTGATTTGGCATGATAGTAATATAGTAAATCAGGTCTCAGCTGTCTCTTTATCTTACTAGCCTAAAATGACACATATAACACAAAGCCATATACCTACTGATATACCTACTGATACTAGATTTCACAAGGAGAAAAAAAATGTAAATTTATTTGGAAGTGATGAGATAAGCAAGTAGTAAAAAACTTGTTTCTTAAAAAATATATATTTTCCAAGGCCAGGTGCTCACGCTATTCAGGAGGCTGAGATCTGAGGATCTCGGTTCAAAGCCAGCCCGGGCAGGAAAGTCCGTGAGACTCTTATCTCCAATAAACCACTAGAAAACTGGAAGTGGCACTGTGGCTCAAGCGGTAGAGCACTCGCCTTGAGCTGAAGACAGTGCCCAAGCCCAGAGTTCAAGCCCCAGGATCGACCAAAAAAAAAAAATTTCCAAAGAGATTGTTTAACAAAGCACTGTTCATTGTTAGATGCCTGTAGTGCTTCAAGTCAAATGTCTTGTCAATATAGACACTATCTACATGTTTTCCTTCCTGTGTTTCTTGTAAACCACTGAAGATCTTGGAGGAAAATTGCCTAGTGTCTTTCTTTGTATAATTTGTTTCAATTTTGAGGGATAATTAATATTCTTGTCATATATTTGAGAATATCACTGTTGCAGGGTTTAAAAACATTCATCTAGGATACCATCACTAAAAATAAGAAGTGGAAAATTCCTGTCGACCAAACCTCTCTAACATTATATAGATAGATGTATGTTTTATAGTTGCAATGTTTTGTTTCAAAACTTATACACAAAACAAAATAGATATATAGTTATGGGCTGCATAACAATATTTCTGTCCGTGATAGACCACAAATACAACAGTGCTCCCCTAGGATTGTAATGGAGTTAAAAAAAAAGTCCCCTCACTTAGCAATGTTGTCGTGTCATTGTGCTACATACTGTTCACGTTTATGGCACTGCTCTGCTGGCAGTCATATAACAGTGTCACTCTCTGATGTAGATAATAACTGCATTTTTGTGAATTTACTATACTCATAACAAAAGGAGGTTACTGTAAAAAAGCATTCCATGTTACACTGCCAGCAGCTCCATACTTGCTGTATAATCAATTTCTTTTGTGCTTGATTTAATCTTTTTCTGTTTTGTTCATTATAGCCCTAGAAACTATATATAGATATAGATATATATGTGTGTATATTTATATCTGGAGAGAGAGGTATATAGTTGGCTGTATACATAGGGTTGTTGACATATACTCTCATGATTCTTATGATGTTTGCACAAGCACAAAATCACCTAACAACATATTTTTAAAAAAATATAATCCTGGCATTAAGCAGTGCATGACTGTATAAATGTTATTTAATTGGTTTTATAAGTTGAGTTTAAGGCCAGCCTGGAGTACATAGCAAGAGGATATATCACAACAATAAAACAAAAAATTAAAAACCAAAGAAAAATGAAAAAGGAAGTATAAGAAGTGAGCAGTGTGAAATCTGACTTATTAGAAAAGCTTTATGAGGCCTGGCGGCTCATGCCTGTAACCCTAGCTACTTAGGAGGCTGAGATCTGAGGATCACAGTTCAAAGCTAGTCCAGGCAGAGAAATCCCAGTGAGACTCTTAACTCCAATAAACCACTCAAAAACTGGAAGTGGCATTGTGGCTCAAGTGGTAGCGAGCTAGCCTTGAGTACAAAGAGGCTTAGGGATAGCATCCAGGCCCTGATTTCAATAAGGACAAGATCTAGCTAAGAAGACACCTGAAAGTCATCTTGAGCCAGGTTGAAATAAGAGGAAGACAGAAAGACGCAGTCATCAGTGGGGAAGTTCTCTGAAGCTTGCCCCACAGAGATAGACCCTCTTTACAAAGAGAACAGTGACTTGATTCAACAGGTCTAGAGAACCCATCTGATAAGGTCTGAGATGGAAGAAGTTGCATCTTCCCTAACACCAAAGCCATAGACCCTGAAAAGGCAAATGACCTTTTTTTAAAAAAAATATTGTCCTAATTCAGTTTTTAGAAATGGCTTTAAAATGTACATTTGTTTGTTTTTACAGTTGGGGATTATATACCGTGACATTAAGCTTGAGAATATTCTACTTGATTCTAATGGCCATGTGGTACTGACAGATTTTGGTCTGAGTAAGGAATTTGTGGCTGATGAAGTGAGTATAATATTTTATTTTATAGTAATGGCAGAATGACTAGAGATTTTCATTCAGATTTACAGTGAAACCATCCTATTGCAATTATAGTAAACTTTTGATGGATATGTCAGAATTCTTCATTTAAAAAATATACTTTGCACTATCCCCATAAAAATGTAACAAAACACTTAAAATGATTCTTTAGAAGACCCTTTAGAAGAATTATAGCTTAGCTAATAGCCAATAAAGAATTACAAAAACAGGCTGGGCGCTGGTGGCTCATGTCTATAATCCTAGCTACCCAAGAGGCGAGATCTGAGGATCATGATTCAAAGCCAGCCTGGGCAGGAAAGGCTGTGAAACTCCTACGTCCAGTAAACCCCAGAAAACCAGTAGTGGCACTATGGTTCAAGTAGTAGAGCGCTAGCCTTGAGCTGAAGAGCTGAGGGACAGTGCTCAGCCCCAGAGTTCAAACCCCATGACCGACAAAAAAAAAAAAGACAAAAACAGCCAGGCACTGCCGTTCACATTTGTAATCTTAGCTATTGAGGAGGTTAAGAACAATGTGGATCAATATTCAAAGTTAGTTTGGGCAGAAAACTTTGCTAGACCCCTCTTCAATCCATACGTAGATGCATTAGTGCTTCCCTGTCGTCCTAAGGTATGTGAGAGCTGAAAATGGCAGAAAAGTCGGAGAGACTTGTGATTAAAGCTGATAAGGGAAGCCCAAAGTAGGCAGGTGTGGCTCAGTTGTGCATCTAGGTATGAAGTGAGACTTTGTATCTCAAAAATGACCGGTTCTAGAAATGTGGCTCATTGGTAAAGGTGCCTACCTAGCAAGCACAGAGCCCTTGGTTCAAACTCAACTACTGCCCACCACCCAAAAAGAAAGAAGCACAATACCAGATACCGACAATTTATTTTATAATTACCAAGTAAGTCATGTATCATTGCACTATGAATTCATTTGGCAAGAAATACAAGCATCTGCTGACCTTAATTCTTTGATAATATTGCTGGGGATATTTGTTCAAAATGAGTTAAAATGTACTAGTTGGTATGCAGATTTTAGATATTGAAGGTCCTCACATTTTCACATTAATTAGAACTTAGAATTAGAAGTGCATTTAATGATATTTAAAGTTGTATGTTTATTGTTAATTTTATGTATATGGCAATTGTAATGATTTATATTTTTGCTACTAATTATTCCAGGTAACCAAAGTTGAATGCCAGTTTTATTAATAAGTTATTGATGTAGAACATGGAATATAGTAAAAATTTCTATAATGAAAGACATTGTTGTGTGACAGCACATCATTCTTGGGTTTCACATTAAGCACAGGTTCAGCAGCTCTAGTCTGGAAATCCAAAGCCTTTTGGGTGACAATGTGATGCCACAAGTGAAAATTCCATCCCTAATGGAATGGTGGATGGTATATAGTCAAAACACAGACACATAAAACTCAGTTTATCAAGCATCCTTCAAAAACAGAAGACACTCTTACCCATTTCAGCTTAGATTTATTGTTTCTATGCATACCCAGATCCCTCCACAGGAGCCCAACACTGGCAGAGAGTAATAACACGGCTTGTATACAGGTCTATCCTCCAAGGCACGTGGAGCCAAGACCAGTATGCATTATTGTCTTTTTTCCTTTTTATTATTATTCTCTGGTTTGTGGTATATATTGTTGAAAACGTCAGCAAGGGCTACAGATGATTTATATGGACAACAATGATAAGAAAGAGAAGCATTTATGTTTATCTCTAGCACAGAAAGCCAAGCTACTAAAGACATTGCAAAGCAGTGTGTGAAATGTTTTAGACGAGAATGTGGTTTTGGAGTGACCATCATGTGTGACCTGAAGAAACTGAGGGAGAAACTGTGAAACTTCTGTGCTGAAAGTGATGAACTGAAGTTAATGAAAAAACAGAAAAAAATATTATGTAAAAGCAAAAATGAATGTCTTGATTGTGAATTGAGAGCAGATCCAGCAGCATTGCCAGGAAGTGCTACCATTTAACGGTGCGCTTGCTGATCACTGTGGTCGATGAATGGTGATGAACTAACAGTTGAAGGTAATGACAGATACTCTATAGGCTGGTTGCAAGACTTAAGAAAAGACACACTTTTAACTTGAAAGCTCTGTAGTAATAAGATATATGCTGATGAGCCAGCAGAGAATGAGTTTGCCAGGGTCATCGCTTAGAAGCACATGATGCTACTCCGTCTGTAACACTGATGAGACATGATGGCCCAGAAAAAAATCACCTTTAAAAAATTAAGGATGTTAAGACAGAAGAACTGTGCTGGCATTTGCTTTGTGTTACATATGATGCAACCCCCTGGGATGGTCAAAGGCTTGTGTCCTCACTGTTTAGGGAATACATTTCTTACCAGACCATTATGCTAGCAGAAAAGCCCCAGTCACCAAGGACCTCTTTTCAAACTGGTTTCACTTTTAGTACCAACAGTTGATGTTCACTAGAGAGAAGTTAGACTGCATGAAGATAGCAAGATTTGTGTGATTCCCTGATAACTGTCCTGCTCATCCTCCAGCTAAAGTTCTCATGAGAATTGGTGCTTAGGTCATGTGCTTCACAGAGTGTGGCTTTATTAATTCAGCTACCTGAGCAGAGAATCTTTAGATTGTCAAGAAGTAAATATAAAACCACTTGCTTAAAGCACAGTAGCGGCAGTTAACAGGGTTGTGGCAATGGACGGTTTTCCACAGGAGTACAGCATGAAAGCTGCCTTGTGTGTATGCAGTGATTGCACCAGGGACATAATAAAAGAAGGTGTGCGTGCCTGGCATGTATGATAATGAACAAAGTGGTGATTTGAAGGATTTTTTTTATGTCAAATGAGAAAAAAAGTGATATCTGACCTCCATTTAGAGCTTGTCAGTAAACTGAAAGAAGCAGTTATCAAAGAAGTTTGACATCAGTAACAAAACCCCAGTTTTTCATTATCAATGGCAAAATAGTTGAGATAGTTCTGAATCCAAGTATTGGTGATAAGGGTGATGGTGAGGATGATCCTGTTAATATTAGATGGGGGGAATGCCTGTAAAAAGCATGGTGAAAACACATGATGAGCTTTCTGCAAGACTCATGCAGAATGCATTCACGACACATCCAAATCATCACATAAAGTGAAAGAGATTTTCAGACAAGGGCATAGTTACTAAGACAAATGACTCTGGAGGACATATTTTTTTTTAATTTCTCATCTTCAGAGACCCATTTTGTGGTGCCTCAACTGCTGCTGATGTATCTTCTCATCCAAATATAAGGTATACATAGCAAAGCTTTAAATTGAAGTGTGTTCTTACAGCTAGAGAACTGTTTGGTGGTGGTAGTGTCTAGCAGCTAGCACGAATTCTGCATTCTCAGTTCTCCTCCACACATGGTTTTTTCACTGTATTAATGATATGTCATTTCCCTCACTGCTAAACACTTCCTATGATTATTTATGGGTTGCATATAAATTCAGAGCAATGAATGATGGTGATGCCAAACAACCATAGATGACTCATAGGGAAGGCTGGGAGAGTGACACCTGGCCTTTCTAATGTTTCAATGTACCCAAACTTTGTTTCGTGCACAAAAGTACTTACAAATTATGTAACATGACATTCAGACTACATATACAAAGTATAAATGGATTTCCTCTTTAGACTTGGGTTTTTATCCCCAATATACCTGTAAGTACTCAAGTAAAAGTGACAACACTGAAATCTCCAGCACATCTGGTCCCGAGTATTTTGGGCAAGGGAAACCACGTATGTATGTCTTTATGATTGCTTCTTATAGTATTGACAAAGCAATTGTAAGGTTAGTGAGAGGATGGTGGCATTGCAAAGTTAAAAGATACTAATTTCTTTTACCATATGTGTATTTATGAGGTTCATTTAGTCAGTAGTTACTGAATGAGTACCTCAATTAGGTGACAAAATGATACATAGAATAGAAATAATCTCTGCCTTAATGAAGACATTAACAGTAAGTTATTTTGGTAGAAAAATCATAGTTATAGAGTAGATGAATTCTGATGAGTTCAAAATTTGTAGTTATACAATTGAGTTGCCATTCAAAAAAGCAGTTTATGAATGCAGTGCACCTTGATTAATGTCAACATCCTCACCCACCCTTCCCAACCCAGTCTTTCCCTCACTTTTCTTAATTTTGGGGGTATGTGTTGAGTCATTATCATTTTTTGGCCATTTAACAAAGCAGTGGGCAGAAGAATTGTCGTGAGTGATTTGCATCACACAGCAGTGTCTTAGGCCAGTAAGGCTACTTGGCACCTCTGAATCCCCAGAATGTCCTAGCAATTAGAGGAACTAGCTGTCCTCCAGAGTAGAAGTTTAGTTAATCCTGGGTCTAGGAAGGATAGGTTGAGAGTCTGTTTAAGAAAAAAGTAATCTTCGATCCTTACCTTCAGAGAAGAGTATAAAGGTCATATGGACTTTGGGTTCTGGGACATTGAGCACAGCTGAGAATGAGGATACCATATGCAAAGAGGAAAAGCAAGAAGTGTCACAGAACTGCAATTTCCATGGCTTCTTTCCTACCAGCCTATTCTGAGCATAGTGGCATTCCAGTCAGTATGGAAAATTCCTATCTGAGAAGCCAAGAAAAAAAAAAACAGATCTTGTCATGTGGGGATTTCAAAAATGAACTAACACAGTCAGATGTCTCTATCAGAGAAAGCTATGATCTGAGAGGCCCAGCCTGCCACAGAGACACATTTGTGATGATTCCATAATTTGCGATATTTTTATGACAATATTGCAGTGTAAGTAGTTTCCTTGGTATGTACCTAAAGTATCACAGTATCTGATTATTCTGAGAAGAATACAGGCCCCAAGTAGACTGCTAAAGAGCTCTATTATCCCCTTTACTCCTCTCCATTGGACCATTCATTCATTCCATTGAAATTTGTTGAGGGCCTTTTGTGTGCTAGATATTAGGCTAGGTTCTGATAATACAGTGAAAAAAATCAATGTTTA